GAATGTCGACAATTAAATATTAGGTAACACGCTTATGTAATATTGGATATATCTATGCGTATTTTATATGTGTGCAAAATACAGTTATTAAAATTCAATAAGTATATTATTTTTAATTCATTTATAAGCAAGACAGATTAATTTCTTTCATCATGTTTTATATTTTTATAATATATAACAAGTGTACGTAAAAACTGGAAGATTTACTGATGATGATTAAATATAGTGTAGATGATAATTGAAGATGAAGATGTATAAGTTTTTGTCTAAAAAGTTCTTACACATTGGAAAAATATGCTTAAATAAATTGTCTGGGCAAAATTCTATTCTTTCTGTAGATACAAAATTAATGCCGTATATGGCTAGTTGCGCATAGACGTGCACATGCTTCTTAAATTGATATCATTGTGCGAATGTTAGTAATTATTTAATATAACGCGCACAGTAGGCGCATATGTTTATTCGCTATATTTTGAATTTTATTTAGCGATAACATAATGTATTTACTGGATTGAAAAGTTCATTTCTATCCATAATAAATTTATTAATAATCCGCACATCAATAAACATTAAACGAAATGATATTTTTTTATTTTTACTCAATTACTTTATTTATTGTTTGTCCTCTCTTTTCCGTACTCGTTTGCTAAAATGGTGACTGATATTTTACGTTGTAGTAAAATTTTAAACAAAGGAAGGAGAATTATATAAAGCGTATATATTAAGAGGCGCTAAACAATCTAACCTCTAGGTAAGATAAATGGTGATTTCTAGCATTTTAAAGGCATCGACAACGAAATGACTATATATAGTAGATATTCTATAACGAACTGATAAATAAAAAGTTAAATTGTTATGTTGAAAGCATTTACACTGAAAATACTATAGAGTAGATATACTGAAACGAACTGATAAATAAAAAGAATTGTTATGTTGAAAGCATTTTATAATGAAATGACTATATAGTATATATATGAACGGGTAAATAAAATAAATTTGTATTGTTTCAAGCATCGACAATAAAATGAACATGTAGTAAATATATATACTTTAACGAACTGATAAATAAAATGAATTATTAATTATAAAAATATTATATAAACACTATTCTGTATGCGAGCGTAGGTTCAGAAGAGATGCTTATATGTAGAGCGAGTGTATAGTAGAGGACGCAACTGGTTGGCAATGGTGTTCGAATATATATATAGATTGCTGCCTGTACATCGGACTGCATATCTTGATAATTGGAAAACTGACTGACCGACTCTGAATGTCTGGAACTTACTGGCAGCGTAACGTACTGCCTGTGTAACTAATTTAGTACAGCCAACTGACTGTGAAGTCGATTTTTTAAGTTGTTTTTATTAGCGATGAACTAACTCACTCAGCGACATACTGCTGTCGGTCTTTTACCGATGACGAAGGAACGATAGAACACAGTGGCGATCTGTGGTAGTCGACGTCTAGATGGATATGGCACCATGATGATGACGACGACGAAAACGACGATGATGATAATGATGATGATGATGAAGATGATGATGATGATGATGATGATGAATTCAGCAGCGCACCAACTCTTAGAAATATCAGTAGAGAGTAGTTTAGAAGTAGCAGCTAATACCATAACATCGGTTTCTTATTTAGAAACCAAGCGATAATCTGTTACCCGTACTACGCATTATTGTAGGGGGCAGTAGAGCATTACTTAATTATAATTACGAGAAACTTCGTGATAAACTCTTCCTATGTAGGTGCGTCACATGTTATATGTAGGTGCAGTCACTGGCGGATCGGGTGGATTGCCTTCTCCCAGCTCGTGGGGTTGACGTAGGTAGCGCTCCCGTATACGAGGAGATACAGAAGAAAGCGATAGCGCATTTGACCTAGGGCGCTCTTGCGCGCCTCACCCGGGTGCCCACTACAAATGTTTAGCTCGATACTGAGTTATGAGAATGAATATTAATGAGAAATTCTGAGTGGAATCAACAACATGCATTTGAGTTTTTTAAATAAATATTTTTAATAAACGATAGAATTATTACGGATAGGCGTACGGGTAAGCGCATGAGCACAGCCGTAATAATTAAATGATAAAGGTTGCACTTATGCGGATAGCAGCACATGGTACTTATAAATAAACAAGGCCTCTTAATTACATATTACAGCATACATTATATATTAATTATTGCATGCCACCTGTCATTTTGATCGATCAATGGTGTTTGGGCTAAAGGCGAAAAGTACATATCTATGTATGTGTGCATGCGCGTATATGTGTGTGTGTGGGCGCGCGTATGTGTGTGTGTGGGCGCGTGTATGGGTGCGTCCACGGACTAACGGATGTATCCGTTAGTCTGTGGTGAGTCCGTGCATGCGTGCATGAGCGCGTGTGAGCATACTAATTTTCTTGATTCGTTTTTGTTTGGATTTTAACTGGACTATACTCATACGAATGATAAGTGAAGATTTGTCTGCCCAATATTATTTTATTTGTATTTCTTGATTTATTTTTGTTTGGCTTTTAACGGGACTATACTCATACGAATGATAAGAGAAGATTTGTCTGCCCAATATTATTTGTATTTGTATTTCTTGATTCCTTTTTGTTTGGATTCTAACTGGACTACACTCGTACGAATGATAAGAGAAGATTGCCTGTCCAATATTAATTTATTTGTATTTCTATAGAAAACTGGCATATTAGTTGATTTTGCACCTGATGAGGACAGCAAGCGGAAGGTGACATATATGTTATACGTTGCTAGTCTTTCCAAGCGGTAGCGGTTTTATAAAACATATGACAGAAATCATGATCTGCGTTTCTGGTAATCATTAAAGTTTAAATAATTTATTGTAATTTTTATTTTTTCTTCTGTTCTCTCACTCTCTTCGATGTGCATGTGCGTGAGTGCGTATACGCGCGGGGTGGTAGGCGGTGTGCCACAGGTGGGCCCGTCGCTGCCCCACATCCGCACCGCCACCGTACCTTCTCTCAATCAGGCCACGCGGTGCGAGCGACAGGTAACACGAGTGGCCGGAGTCGTGGGCCGCAGAGTGAGCAGCGCTTCTTGTTTTCACACAGCGCCCGTAGCGTGGTCATCCGACTCCATTGTGCCTACAATTGGATTAGCACAAAAAGCTCCACCCACTAATGGCGACCACCCAGCGTTCTATTGGGCGAAACATATTATACACTGGGCGCAGATCGCGGTCATCGCGTTGAATCTACGGCCAGTGTGGCTAACGGACACGTCAGTCACTCTCACGTATGCACTCGAATCTATTTACCTAAACACGCATGCGGGGCGGTTCAGTAGAGATTGACTCGGTTTCGCGTGATACTAACAGGTATGTGTTCGTTGCGCGTGAGACAAATATATTCGATATATTTCGGGGGATTTATTAATAATTCGTGTTGACACTCTCTGGATAAGCAATGACGTATTCTCTTTGATTTGATGTTATAGACTATTCTAATCAAACTCTGTCACACGATAACATTACTCAATTATTATTACCTAGAATATATTCGTCTGTATTATAACTGTTTAGCAATATAAGCCCAATACCAGTCGATTTGGGGAAACTAACGCTGTCTGTGATTATTTTGTTTAATCAATGCAAAAGTATTGTGAAAATTCACCGATATTGTTAATGCAATATAATATAATAATCAAACACTTCAACAGCATCCATATTTTGTATTTCTGTTAATACAATATTATACAATTAGATATCTCATTCAATAAAAAATACGCTACATAATATTGCTCGCGGAAGTGTGGAACATCTAAGCTTCACACTCTAAATAAGTAAGCTTACTATAATAAGTAACATATTTAATAATAATTAAATCACAATCTGTATATTTGGTGTACGGACAGGGTAATATACGCGTACGCATCTATCATCATAACAGTACCAGCATTCTAGCTTTTACCGTACTGGACATCCAGCATCTCAAACACATCTGCTAACACTACTGTAAAATTTACGAATATTATGTACATTTCATATTTATTTAATAAATGATAAACGGATCGAATTACACGACCATATAATCACACATTACACTGTGCTATACTATACCTTTTATTGAAATGCGGTGGTTAGAGATTAGATGAAAGTGAGAACGTATTATATAATACCGATCATGCGTTCACTAACGTCCTCGGCTAGTCATGGACTGGAAACATCGTCAGTGCATGAATTCATAAGATGATAATATCAGGAGTGTATAATATAGACACTATTCTATATTATAAATATATTCTATTCTATATTATACACTCCTGATAATGTATCATTCTCCGCGATCTAGTCTCTATACTATGGCCGATTATAATGTATTAATATTTACATTGATGTTGCGATCGTGATTGTTCACTGTGCGGTCGCTTGTTTCATAGTCATGTATCGGTACGTGGAAAGCTGTATAGTTTTAATTACAGCTAAATGTTTTATAGACATATAAACTGATTATTGAGTTTAAATTGACTACGTCACGAATTTTCTATGGTGCATATTTGTAAAATTATTGTTGCAATTTTTCACATGAAAAGTAAGTACTAATTCGGCACTAAATGTATCCTCAAATTCTTACCTGATAAGATTTATTTTTCAACTAGTAAAAAATCTGAGCGATTTTATATATTGATCACGACATTAAATGCTTGCTAATGACTATGTATGAGTCACGAGTGTTTGTTCACATCGAACGGAATGGCAAAATAAGAAGTAGGTATAATGCAGCAATTTAACCACAAAAAGTGAACAGAATCATATACATTTTGTGAAAAAGTGGACATAATTTTTTACTTTTACTATTTACGGTGACGTAATCACTTCAAGCTCACGTGACGCCCGGTTAAGAATCCAGAATTATGCTGAATATTACTGAATATTGCTGCTTATTGCTGAATACTGATTAATATTGCCGAATATTGCTGAATATGGCTGAATATTTCTGTTAATTTGAAAAAACTTTTATATTGCAGACTTTGGTATCGGCGAACCGCTTGGTTTCGAACTTCCCACACCGCCGTTCTGTGCTCTTCAGGACCAAGCGACGTCAATACGCTGATGTACCCGGTCACGTGCACGCCACGTGAGCGCGCACGTGTTTAGCAAAATTATTCATAATTATATATGATAATCGAGTCGTATAGATTGCACAAAATCTATTGCCCGATGAGAGGTAGGTAGCTACATGACGCCTTGAGTCGATGAATCTGGGGCTTGCGAAACAACCCAGCGCTACTGGTTGCCATGGTGATGCCTTCGACAAAGCTCCCTGAATCTACCGCACTGGTATACTCACGCGATGCACATTTACATGTGCCTTGAAGAAGAGGAGGAGGAGCTAGTAACGGAGAGACACAGATTCCGAAACCCGGTTTTTAAATGAGCAATGCGGGGAATGCCTGCGTGCATCGAACGAGTCGCAAATTGCATATTTATTACATGCAGAATTACCGTAACGTTGAGAGTATCGTGTGCCGCATTGCAGCAAACCTCTCATCGTACTGTCACGCGCTGATAACATCAAGTTTGAATTATTTATTTCAGTCCGATCCCTGGGCACACAGATAAGTAGATTTTTGCCCGAATTTGCATGATCAAACAATTAACGTTGGCGAATTGGGGTGCTGATGAGCATGCATGTAATGAAAGTGACGTCATCGATGAAAAGCAGTATTTGATGACTGCGATGAAGTGAATTTTGTTAACTTCATAAGATAGGGGAATGTGATATATAAATATTGCGTAGTTTTAAGAAGTGTACTACTGGCAGTTGATATGTCTCGAATTATTAAGTACCCGTGATCGTAGAAAAAGGGTGGTTCTCTATTTTAATTTCATGGGTACTATCATACGTAATAATTGTATATACGTTTTGTATCTTATAAGACCAAGTAAATAATAATATTTTACTAACAAAATAGTGTCGGTGAGATACTAACGCTAATATGATAGAGGGATTTATCACCGAAACCTCATTCATATAACCAAGTACATCAATTACTTACATTAAGTTCTAACTTTGTAGATAAAATTGGCTAAACTAAATTTTCAGTATATATATGGTACATTATATCTCAGCTGGTAATGGTAGAATTTCAGCCCTAGTTTCAGCGTTCACATTGTTATTGTAATATTTTTCACAAAAATCTCTCGCACCGTTTCAATACCATTTCTGTTTGTTTCTTAAGTAAAGAAGAATATTACAAAGCTGCTGAAATAACTGCATGAATATTTGTGTCGACACTTTATTGAACAGTTTAGCTAAAGACAAACACATTCAGGGCTGAATCTATATGTGAGAAAACATTCGAATTCGTGTTTTGTGAATTCTGTGGACTTGTTACTCCTACATATTTAGCATGCATCGTTTTGTTCGAGTACACTGTCTGTTTATTAAAACAACGCAGTGTTTAATACGATTATTGCTTACGTTTGGTGTAATTAATAAAGTATTTATAATGCGGTTACTATATAAATTCTTTTGATTGATTTTTATCACTTCGAATTGCTTATAGTCTTTTTAGTAGTTAAGTATTGGCAAGTCTTGGCATGTATAGTGTGCTAGCATGAAATTAACACGGACCGCCGAGCAAAGCACACAATATAATACCGACAAGCATAGAACACACGCACACGCGCATACACGCGCACGCACACACACGCACGCACACACACG